TCTTCGTTTTGTCTCCCCTTCTTCCGTAGGTCTGTGCGATTACAGGTATGTGATCAGTCCCTAAAGAGTTGTACCATCACAACATGCAGACTAGCATGCATGCCATAATTATGCCTGTGGCCGGTAAAGACGGCATTTCACTTCCAGCACCAGAAGCTCGGAGGTCCAAAATGTGTTGACACTACAAGCTCTCTTTTTTTTCAAGAGCTAAATGTACATTGAAGTACTAACTTCAACCATAAGTACAGCTGCAGTGGTGTCTTCAACTTCATTCTCCCGAGTCAAGCTCCGTATGAAGACATCCAACCATAAGTACAGCTGCAGTGGTGTCTTCAACTTCATTCTCCCGAGTCAAGCTCCGTATGAAGACATCCAACCATAAGTACAGCTGCAGTGGTGTCTTCAACTTCATTCTCCCGAGTCAAGCTCCGTATGAAGACATCCAACCATAAGTACAGCTGCAGTGGTGTCTTCAACTTCATTCTCCCGAGTCAAGCTCCGTATGAAGACATCCAAGAAGAAGATTGCCTGATGAGTCCAGCGGGGACGAAACGTACGTCGCAATCGAGCTATGTCGTTGCTGTGTCATCATCTATGTGCCATGCGCTACTTGATGTACCAGCCTGCTATGCCGGATACCGCCAGCCATGCATCGACCAGGCGCCAGGCGCGAACTGATGGTGGCGGTGGTGAGAAGGAGAGCTCTGTGCCAGAACTTTGCAGCCTAGAGAGCGTGTGTGGGCAGGCGTGTGTTTACCGCCATACTGCCAGGTGTGTCTTTACCACCATATTTATCAACCATAAGTACTAATACTTGGTCCATACAAGTATAAGGACCGCATAACAAACTTTATAATCAGCAAACGAGAAAAGAAGATCATCGGGCCGATCCCGACAAGCAGCCACTAAAAATAGATTTAAGTACGACATGTAGCGAGTAGTATTATTTTGAAGTAATTAACCAAAAGTTGCAGAGAATGCTCCCAATCTACGGAGAGTGCTCAGATGCTGGAGAAGGGGCAGAGTGTGCAGTACATGATGCAGCAGTGAACTAAAAACATGAGCTTGGTCCACTGTCGTTCTTCGAAAACAACAATACACAGACAGTACATGTACATGTAACTAGAAAAGCTCTACCATGCGCATGAAGCAACGAAGAATTTGCTCGCAGTTTTGCTGTGCGATTGTTACTATGTACACGATCAAACGCAGATAATTCAATGGCGGTAACAAATAAATTGGCGAGAAAGAGAGATTCTTAAAGTATGCAAAACTACTAAAATGGAGCATTTCCAGGTCAGCGCAAAGAAAATATAAATCATCATATGCCAACAGTCCAGGTCAGCAGTGTTAACAAGTGTTCTAAAGGCAATACGTATGATCGCACGTCCAGTTTACAGAATAGTAGCTTGATCTTTGGGACAACACGTCTAGAGGTATAGACGAATCTCGCCGGTAGCGTTGCTCTTTGTGTCCACTGCTCCGGTACGCTCATGGCGAGCGACTGACGTGTGATTGTCGCAATCCAATGACAAGTGATCACATCGCCGGAACGCCATGGCTGACCCAAAGTGCCGTAAGAGGTGTCATGGCTGATCCATGCGAGGTTGCCATACCAGCATGTCAGCCCTGGCTCCTTCTCATTGCACATACCTTGCGCGTAGTTACTGTACCCAGGATATGGCGCAGGCCCAAACTTATCAAGACGGACAGATATTTCGTGTTTGCCCATGCTCCATCGTGCTGTGCTGTACACTGCCATGGCTTCAAGGTGTTCACCGTGATATTTGACCGTCCTGCCATAGTTAGACAGAACCAGACCGGTGTGACATCCGTCGGGGTCAAACTGCAATACATCATCAACAGTCGTGACTGCAGGACTTCCCTGGATGTGGCCAGTGTCAGTTGTGACAGACACTTTGACTTGTCCCTTCTTTCCACCGCCTGTCTTGAATACAGCGAATACTGGGCTGGAGCAGTTTTCCGCGTCTGTTGCCTTGACAACCGGACAGATTGCGGACTGCATGTCGGACAAATGCCTACTCGCTCATTTCTCGCCTGCCTTCAGACTCATTTCAGAGAAACAGTAGATCAACGGTAGTTACGATAATGTGCATTCTCTTTTCCGCACACTGGAATGATGTAGGATACATGCAACAGGCTACTGGCACTGTGTAAAGTGGTGGTTCACAGCAGGAAGGGGTGTACGAGTTTGCTGTCGCTGCATTTCTACTGATGCGCATTTCTGCTCCTTTTTTTGGTGGTTTTTGCACAAGAACTCTCCAGTTTTAAGTTGCGATATTAGCAACTTTTGAGCTTTTTCTGAAAATATGGATGCGATTTCAGCAACTAGCACTTGTTTTAGCACGGTTGCGAAAAGCGTAAGTTGTGAAAAATGATGGCATCTTTGGGAAAGTCACTAAATCAACGTCAACTACACTGATAATCAAGCCACATAGCTGCAACGTCACGAGGGTGCTGGCAAAAGTCCTGCCGCCGTGCAGCCCAATACGTGGCTGAAAAACGTGATTTTTGGACTTTTTTGGACTTGGAGCAAAATTCTGCACACTTTCGCGTGTTTCGCGTGTTACGACAAGTTGCGCACGGTCGGCTCACATTCAAATACAGTGCTGCCAACAAAATTAATGATAGCGTGCAACAAAAAAATCTTTCCTTACATTTTCGGCCATAACTCTTGAACGGCTGGTCAGATCGAGACAAAATTTTCAGAGATTTAGCACTCGATATGAATTTACAAATTCGATTTTCAGGGATTTTACGACCAGGCTGCCCCTTAAGCGTAGGGCATGCATGCTGCTCTGATCAGGCCCTCGGTCATGTGAGTGATCTTGCCCGCAGTCGCGACGCCCTAGGGCAAGATCACAGCACTCACAGACCTTGGCCGACCCGGGCCTGATCAGAGCGTCATGTACTAGTACAGTCAAATCTGTTGTAAGCGACCGCCCCTTGGTGCAAGAAAAAGCGGTCGCTTACGGCAGATGGTCTCTTACGGCAGATGTATGGTAAATCCGGCATACCAGGTATATGCTTCCATGTACTCAAATCGACGAGAATAATGTGATTTTTAATATCATTTTATTGGATATTCAACGACGACCATACCCGTATAGTACGCGTATGCGACACGGCAGTAGATCGACACTGCCTGGACTTGAGAGCTACATCACAGCCTCAGTACAGGCCAGGCGCCAGTCGATCGCACTTGCAAGACAGCGCATTTTCACACTTTGCAGCAGGGAGTAGTAAATACGTATTTTACTACTCCCTGCTTTGCAGTTGACAACGCACTGGCAAGTACAGTTTCGCACCTTACTGAACCTGGGTCGCGGTCGCTTACAGCAGATTTGAATGCAGCCACCGTGCATGAAATCGCGGTCGCTGGTCGCGCACAGCAGATGGTCGCTCTGGACAGATCAGTTTGTATGTGAAACCGTCGGTGCACGGAAAATCGGTCGCTAACGGTAGATGGTCGCCTACAGCAGAGGTCGCTAACGGCAGATTGGACTGTAGTAGTACTCGCGACTGTGTAGGATTATTGTATAGTCATGTAATTTTTTATATGCATGCTAGCCTGCATGTCATACCAGTATGCCTGTGGCCGGTAAAGACGACGACACTCCGCAGTGCACTTCCACTAGTACCGGGATATAATAATTATTACTATTACACCAGAGCTCAGAGGTCCGAAATGCATTGACACTAGCTCGCTTTTTCAAGAGCTAAAATTTAATGTACATTGAAGTACTAATACTGGTACACGTGGTCCATATACACTGTACTAGTACCGACTGCATATCAATAATTAGCAAACGAGAAAAGAAGATCACCGGGCCGATCCCGACAAGCGCAAGCAGCGACTAAACATAGATTTAGTACGAGTGTAGAGAGTACAATAGTAAGCAACGCGATTCCTAATAAAATATTTATTTGACAACAAGTTGCAGAGAATGCTGCATAGTGTTCAAATGTTGGAGAGGGTGCAGAGTTAGGCCCTTACTTGGCGTTAGCAGCAGCAGAAGCAGCAGAGCGTAGTACACGGTACAGCTGTGTATTATTAACAACAGCTAATAACATAACATTGGTTCACTGTCGTACTGCGAAAACAAGAACTTCATGTGCATACATGTAGCTAGGAAGGTCTGTTCTCTAGGTTCTACCATGCGCATGAAACATCATAGAATGTGTCCAACTGTTTCGCCATGAGGTTGTTACTATGTACACGAACGCAGATCGTTCAATGGTGGTGAATGAAAGGGGTGGCCAGAAAAAAGAGGGATTTGTTGAACGTATGCAAATCTAGGAAAAAGAGGATATTCCAGACCTGAGCAAAGAAACCGGCGATCATGTGCCGACAGTCAAGTTCAGCAGCGTTATCAATGCTCTAACGGCATACTGGCCAACCCTCCCGTTTTTCCCGGGAAAATCCCGGAAAATCAACACTCCTCCCGGGGTCCCGGGGATTTCAAGCAAACTCCCGGAAAACCAAAGTTTTGTCTGATACAGGATTTTCCTGAAAACTCCATGGTTTCTCCCCGGATGTCCCGGTTTTTTGAACTTTTTTCAAAGGTATGTACGGTGCTCATTCGCACTGTGCACAGCACTTTGAAGACCTGACCGTGCAAGATCTGCACTGACAAAGTGACAGGCGGGCGCCGACTGATCAAACTGCACTAATACAGGCGCAACAGGGTCGATCTGTGCTGTACGCACAGCTGCAGAGTCGAACGTTTTTTTGGCGGGAAAAGCTCTTTTTCACTTGTTTTTGTGCCATCCAGGGATTTTGAGAGAAATCCAGGGATTCTGCATGTCTTGTCAAGGGATTGAGATTGTGGTGGTTGGTCAGTATGTAACGGCAATACGAATACCAATATGTACAGTTTTACAGTTGTCTGATGACCGTGACTACATGTACAATATACATGAATCTCGGAGTTGCAACACAGCTCCCCCCCCCCCTCTCTCTCTCCGGTGTGTATAGTTTACAGAATAGTAGCTTGATCTTGGGGAGAGGTCGTGAGAAGGTATAGACGAATCTCGCCAGTAACATTGGTCTTCGTGTCCACTGCTCCGGTACGCTCATGACAAGCGACTAATGTGTGATTGTCACAATCCAATGACATGTGGATCACATCACCGGGTTTCCATGGCTGACCCAAATAGCCATGAGAAGTACTACTATAACTGGTCCAAGCGAGGTTTGGATAGAAGCCTGTAAGCAGCGGCTCCTTCTCATTGCACATGCCTAGCGAGTAGTTGTTGTACGCAGAATATGGTGCAGGCCCAAATGTATCAAGACAGACAGATATTTCGTGTTTTCCCGTGCTCCATCGTGTTGTGCCGTACACTACTCTGTTGCTCCATCGTGCAGCAGCATGTGTGACCGTTCTGCCATTGCTAGACAGAACCAGACCAGCGTGACATCGGTCGCGGTCAAACCTCAATACATCAGCGACAATCGAGACTGCAGGACTACCCCGGATATGGCCAGTGTCAGTTGTGACACACACTTTGACTTGTCCCTTCTTTACGCTGCCTGTCTTGAATACAGCGAATACTGGGCTGGAGGAGGTTTCCGCGTCTGTTGCCTTGAGAACCGGACAGATTGTGACGTCATTCTCCCCAGTCGTGACTTCCACTTTCACACTGTTCAGATGTTGGTCTGTTGCAGTCAGCGCGTCACCACGTTGGTTCCTCAGGTCAATGGAGATACGGAGATCTTGTCCTTCGTCCACATTAGCTGGAATGGCCGCGGTGCTCTTTTCAGAGGACACTGTGTCGGCGATCCAGACGGAACCGGCCTTGGAGATAGCTGTGTAGGACTCGTCTTTGCAATCCGCCGTGAATTGTAGAGTAACTGGCTGGAATGGCTTCACCTCCGCTTCAGTTGCATCCATGACGTCATGTGTGGCGTCTTCCAGCCAGCCGCACATCTTCAAGAAGTTACTGTCAGACTGGCAATACTCCGTGAGATGTTTGACTCGCTGGCGAGTTGATAAGCTGGATAGGCTGCGTTGCTTTCGCTCTTGCAACTGTAAGTACTGCGGTAATTGCAGTTGGTCAAGCTCACCCAGCAATTGATGCTCTCGCCTATCAATGACTTTCTTCAACTGAGTGAAGAAGTCATTGACTTGCGAAGATACAGCTTCAGTTTGGTCATGCAGCTGCGAGAGTGCCTTGTCTGTTGCAGCCAATGCATCCTTCAGTTGACTTTCTTCGCCAGAGAAAGAAGCAGTCACCTTTGCAATAAGAGAGTCTCTGATTTTGGAAACAGCTTCCTGAATGGGTAGCAAATCCTTGCGATGCTGGTCATGGCGACTAGACGCTGCAAGGCATTTGTCACAGAGGATCTTTCGACAAACCATGCAGAAGTGTGATTGCTCAGAAGATGGATGCAGTGGACACTTTGCACCCGCAGTGGGCCTTAGTGCGCGGGGAGTAGATGAACCTGCCTCACTGAGTGGCACAACCTTGTGTTTGTATGATCTGCGTGAGGTTGGGTGCACCCTGGCATGGTCAGTACAGAAATTGTCACCACAGTCCTTGCAAACAGCCACTGCTGCTGTATCCTCAGCACATTCATCACACAGTCTATTTTGCACTGCGGAAGTAGCCTCACCTGCATCGCTGGACAACACATCACTGTCTGGAAGGTACTGCAACAAAGGCACACCAGCCAACGGTGGTGGAGTAATCGTGCTACAGTCAGGACATCCTACTGAACTATCATCGCCGGTATGCTTCTCCAAGCATTCCACACACATCGAGTGAAGACATTTCAACAGTTTCCCTCGCGTACCGCTACTCCCACAACAAACACAGTCGGGCCTAGGCATGGCAAACTTTACAACGGATTCAACAACTAGTTACTTACTTGCAGTATTCAACGATCACTAGGTCTTGGTCTCTTACCATCAAGACTTAGTATTCTCATGTCATGAACACGCGAATAACAGACCGGTAAGCAGCACAGCATCTGCGCGATTTCCTAACTCTACTGCCGATTATATACTGGCACTAGATGACGTACTGGCTGCCTTTGCCAGGCCAGGGCATGCAGTCAACGGTCAGTCGCATGCACAGTGTACGTGTGAGATGATAATGCGCATACTACTAGTCTGAGGGCCAGTTGAATATTCTTGTACCTTCTCCGTTTGGTACTCCACTCCCCGGAGCGATTCACAATACTTTTCTGCTACGCGACACGCGATTTGCGACAGTTGCGCCGTGACAAGAAAGTTGAAGAAACTACCTGTCGCGAACTGTCGCGTACTATACTGTGCCCGGCAAGGCGCCTGTCGCAGAAGTAACAAAAGAAAGTTCAACTCTTGCGACATGCGACACGCGACATGCACAAATGGAGTACAGACTACCATGGACTATAATACAGCTAGCTTAGCTAGCTAAGCTAGCTGGCCGTGTGTTGCTGTAGAAGCTAGCTCGTCGCAGGCGTCGCAGGCGTCGCAAGTCACATGTCGCGTCGCAAGAAGTTAGTTGTACTTGAGAGGTTCTGCGTGAAACGTGGAGAAATCACGTAGAGAGGAGGTGTCTGGGTTTTCTTTTTTAGGAATGAACTCATTGAGCCTCTTGTACGGGAAAAGCATCAACACAATTACATAAAACGAATCATCAGATAATAGTAATGATTATACAGACTCAGTAGGATCACTGCAGGTTCACTGGATGCGTGCCTCCGCCACTACGAGCATTGCAGGGGACTCGGGTACGGCAGGAGCAAATATGCTCCTTGAGCCATGCAGGCACATGGCACCACAACGCACCAGGGCAAACCCAAGGCGGCAGAGCAGCAAGGAGGTATTCTGCGCGTATGGCTCCTTGCTCTTCTCAGCCAGGAGAGAGGCGATCCGCGAGAAAAGCGCATTGGCATGCTTGCCATAGCCACCAGAGGCAGAAAGCACAACGGGCACGAAGGAGGCATGCTCGACTTCGCGTACTCGCTCTTCGTGCTTTTCCTGTTCATGGCGTCTGTAGTTAGCAGCGAGGGAGGTGGCACGATTCGAAGAATCAAAAGGATTAAACACCCGTACATCAATAAAGATGCGCTCTAATCGGCCACCCCACACACCACTAGCCGCAACATCAAGCCAAGCTGTGGAACACCTTTACCCAGCAATAATAGTTATAACGTGCCATATCCACGCTCCGCCAGTTCCGCGCCAGCATGATCCCGCACACCCTTAGTACCTAGAGTACCAAACGTCCTGTTTGATGATCCGCTGGCTTAGTTTCTCTCCGCCTCTATCCTTACGGTATTACATCCCTCCCCAAATTTCAATTATTACTGCTTTCTATCTGCATTCGCCACCTTTTCATTGGGCAGATCTGCCTGTTTGGTTTGCAAATTAAAATAAACACAACAACAACAACAACAACAACAACAACAACAACAACAACAACAACAACAACAACAACAACAACAACAACAACAACAACAACAACAACAACAACAACAACAACAACAACAACAACAACAACAACAACAACAACAACAACAACAACAACAACAACAACAAGGTCGAAAACAGGGGCCAGCTCCCGGTGATCCGAGCGAAGGGCGTCAGCCATAGACTTGACCGCGCTCCGCTTCTCGGCACGAACCGTCGCCTTGACCGTCCGGAGCTGAGTCAGAGAGTCGCCAAGAGACGACTCCTGCTCCAGCAGGCGACACACAAGGCTAGTCGTGATCCTTCTGGACGAGGTGTACAGCTCGGCCATTGAACAGGGTTTTGCCATGCCCATGCAGTCCCCCAAGCCGGCAAACAAGGCAGAGAGAGTAGGGAGCGAACAGGTGTCTCAGGTAGAGCTTGACCCGTGATGGCCGGGATGAGTCTGTGTCTGTGTTAGAGTTTGTGTTAGAGTCTACGGCTTCGCGTGTTTGGGGTCCGGTTTATATGCCCAATACAAACCACCTGCATGATGGGGCAGTTGACTGGAAGTTTGTATGAAAGGTCAGCATGAGTAATGCTATCATAGGACCCAGCCGTTTCTGGAGATTTCTAATACTAGCGTAAATGAGCTTCTGCTATACGTTGTGGCACACGCAAAGAAGAATCAATGCGTACGGATCTGCTGGCTATCATTCGAGTGTAGGCACAACACTGCCAAATATGGAGGGGGAAATTCCCAGTACATATACGGGAACGCGAAGAGAGTTCCCGTGATTATTTGCTATTTTTGCGATGCGATGGGCGATGCGACGCGATTTGCGACGGAGGCGCGCGATGCGAACTTATTTGAAGAGTGTGAGAGTGTAGCACTCACACACTCTTCAAATAATACGCACTCACCCTTTGTTGTCCACACACGCACACACAGCTGCAGCCGCGCTTATTAGGCATGGCCCTTCTTGGCCCTGGTCCAGAAACCTCGCACCTTTCTATCGACCCTTAATACATCATCCGCAACATTCGTGCTGGCTACTCGAAACACGTCACCAGCTAATAATTATGTATGAGTATCTTACACAGCCACAGAGTACTACTGTACTGCGCAATCAAACAATCATTGCTGCGTCCCTCAACTTACAATATTACATGTACTTGCTCAAGCCTGTTACCATGGTTATGTGAACTAATCAAGCCTCTTGTATGTGTGGTGAAAGCCTATTAGACTGAGTATTAGTATTACGGGCAAAATGAACATAATGAACACAATGAATGGAAATGCAATACAGTTAGTATGTGTAGCTTCACTGGCGGTGTGAGTTTTGAAGTCTGAAGTCGTGAAGAGAATTAACGGTGAACAGTCCCTGCTTGGATAACACTAACCAGCCACACCATACATGTACATGTAATTCAGTGGTGAGCATGGCTGGCTATAATGACTTACATGACTGTATACTAACTTTATACTAATTATAGTGAAGGTCCCTGATTCGAGTCCGGGTGGTGACAGTCAATTATTTTCACTGCAGTCTTTTCCCCAGTTTCCCAGTCCCTCAGACTTATGAACAGACGGTTGTATAGTACCACAGCACTACATACACGGTATACCATAAGATTACAAAATTACATGATTGTACATGTACATGCATGTCCACAGCGCTCGGCGGAGAACGCTGGCATAAAATCGGCAGGTTGTGGTGGGCACTGGTGGCTATTAGATAACTGTACGGTACCCTTGGGTTTACCAGGTGTTATCGTAGTGAGTTCCCTTTTAATAGGAACTGACACGATAATTTACTTTTCTACTATTTTTTTATAGAGTTGCACTAACCCATCGTGCATGCTAGCTTGCATGCGATATGCCTGTGGCCGGTAAAGACGGCAGTGGCCTTCCAGTACCAGAGGTCAGAGGTCCAAAATGCGTTGACACTAGCTCGCTTTTTCCAGAGTTAAATGTACATTGAAGTACTAAAATTTGGTCCATAATACTAGTATGTACTCAGACGGAGAGCCAAGGTTTAATTTACACAAAAGAGAAAGACCAAGGAACTACAAGTTAGTAGCTGGTGGTGTTAGTGGACAGTGTAGCGTCACTTGTAGTTCCTTGGTCTTTCTCACATGTATAAATAATACTAGTAGTAGTGGGGACCGGATATAAACATTTATAATTAGCAAACGACAGAACAACAAGGACAATCAAGGTTTTTTTGCTGCTACTTCAAGTTTCATCCTCTAGCAATCATCAGCCAACATGAGGATGGGGTGCTGACCATGCCGGTATAATATTAATATAATGCCAGGAGAGGCATATGTAGCGCTGTATGAAAAAAAGCTGTGTGAGAATGTGGGGCTCTATAGGTTTCGGGGCTAGCGGTGCTGTTTTAGGCAAGGGGGGGGGGGGGTAATTAGCAAACGAGAAAAGAAGATCATTGGGCCGATCCCGACAAGCAGTCACTTTAAACAGATTTAGTACGAAATGTATACAGTCATGTAGATTAGTAAGCAACGCGCTTCCTAATACATAATTATATACGATCTATTTGACAAAAAAGGTGCAGAGAATGCTCCCAATCTGCGGATAGTGTTCAAATGCTGGAGAAAGAGCAAAGTTACATGTAGGCCCTTACTTGGCGTTAGCAGCAGCAGCAGAGTGTAGTACACGGTACAGCAGTGTATTATTAACAACAGCTAATAACATAACATTGGTCCACTGTCGTACTGCGAAAACCAGAACTTCGTGTGTGTGTGTGTGTGTGTGTGTGTGTGTGTGTGTGTGTGTGTGTGTGTGTGTGTGTGTGTGTGCACCTCACCGACCTCTGTGCTGCGTTTGGTTTCCAGAACATCGTCATGCAGCCGACCCGTGAAACTCCACAGTGCCCTGAAGGCACGATGATCGATCTCATATTGACCAACCCGGCGCTAGTGTCCCTAGCAACGGTTGTGCCCACAGATATTAGTGACCACAGCGCTGTGGAAGCCTTTATTCAGCTTGCCGTTGACGTTCCACCCGCGTCATCCACGACGTCGCGGCTGACCAGGAATATTTTTTTTCTTTTTTCTACAAAATCCACATATCTCCAGACACTGGGGTGAATGATTGAGTGTGGTGGTGGTGCCCATTAAGCTCCGCCGACCAGTGGTCTCGGCTTCATAGCTCCATGGACGCACCAAAGAGATATTGGGTAGGGAGGATTAAATTGAAAAAGAAAACAGAAGAAAGAAAATGGAAAGATTGTATTGCTCAGTGAGCAAAAGAATAAGTTGAATATTGATGTGGACGCTGTTAGACTTTTAAATTCA